ATAGAAAGAAATGCTGAAAGTAAAAAAAGATTGACTATTGAGCACTCGTAATGTCCAAATAAGAATTTCACTAAATCGTAAATGGTTTAGATAATTAGATATTCATAAAAAAGTGATCAAAACTATTTCATCATTCATAATGATACCAAGATAGAGCATCGAAAATTATTAGATATAAATATTTGTATCGACTGATATTTATATTCTAGGGATGAAAACTACCCTAAAAAATGTGGGTAAAATAGCCATTTAATGAAACATTTAAAAAATAAATAAGATATTCCCTATTGGTTATCTATTATTCAAACAAAATTTAGTCTAACTTTACTAGCAAGCTAACCATGGAATTATCAAGTCGAAAAAGGAAGAACACTGCATTCTACGAATAAATAAACGCCTAATCCCTCCCACTCGTTTGCTTGCATTTAAAAGGTGGTTTCTGTGTCAGTCCGGAAACTAGTTTTGACTCTATTAAAAAGAGTTTGCGCACCGCTGCGCTGGTTCGACCGATATCAAACGTCGATAGCAGCGTAATATAGCGTTTGTATCGGCAACGGGGCACGATAGATCGAAAGAGGAAACGAGAGGAGCGGTCTACCTGGACAAAACTGGCTGCCTGGCAACCAGCTCGCCACCAGGCAACACGGATACACTATTGGCTCGTTGCAAAAGCTATGGAAATTGCATTTTCATTCCAAACTCGGTCCTCAATTTTTTCAGTTGGCGCACTTTCATTAAAAAATGTCAGACTTCTAACCATGTAACACTTGTAACGCGGAGAGTTCCAAGCTTTGCCTGAAATGAAAATAAAGAATAACTGCTTTAAATAACGTTTTAGACTTTTATTTTCTAAAATGACCGACTTCAGCGTTGGATTATATTGAAATTGAAAATATTCTTTTGCTAAAATGTTTGAAAACAGTACGTGATGCATCGTAAGAGGCCAAGAAAGAATTTACGGAAAGCGTGGGAGCAAAATGTGACTTATTCGAACAAAGCACTTTGGATACTCCAGTTATTGAATAACCATGATTATTTTTAGGGCTCGTATAGTTGCTAACGACAAGACGCACAAATGGCGAAGACAGTCATTCTTCGTGGCGCATAATGCGCCCACACTCGAGTATTAACACTTTAATGGCCGCACGTTTCTCACGTAGACTATTGCCTGCCGCCAGCAATTTTCGCAAGAGTTTCAATATAATCAAGGCTCCGTAACTGCTTTTTGACCTGATATATTTAAATTTTACATTTAAATATTATCTCTACATAATTTTATTATTAAGCATCCATATAAATACCGATTTTAAATTACATAGCTCGTCGATATCGTCGTAAACGTCAAAGACAGTCTCTTTAAATATTTCTTTTTCCTTAGAAACAGGACCAGACCAACACCAACTATTGCTCTAAGCGCAACCCAACAATGCTTAACTGTCCAGACATTAATACTTAAAAATAAGACTTAGATACTTAGAAATAAGAGTTCTTATCATTGTAGTAGACCAAAAGTATCGTCATCAGGGTACGTTACTGATTACAGCACACAATTGTTTACTCAATAGCTCAATAGCTACATCAAGACATAGATCATTATTTTCAAAACTAACTTAACTTCTAAAATTAAAAATATATCATTTGACTCGGCATAGGATACTGAAAAAATTCTTTGATGCTCCTTTCCCCAAGTGCTCTAAACACGTGCTTATTTTACTTACTAGTCGATCCAGTCTGCTTAGACATTTTCATTACAGACTATTTCCAAATTATGAAGTTACGGAAACTGAAGATTCCTGATCAATTTGTCTAAATTTAAGTCGACGAACTATCATTAGCTATTGAGGGCGATTCATCATTCGATTTCATACGAATAGCTTTGAACATCTTTTTACACCGACGCGACGGTGTGAATCAAAGTGAGGCACACGAGAATGCTAGGAGTATTATTGGGAGGAATCGTACATTGAGATACCATAACAAGCGCACGACCTCAAATTTGAACCTAAACAAACGCAATAAGTTGAATGATCAATGATATGGTGATTGAAACGGTAAAATCACATACGCGTGACAGCGGCCGATAACGGTTGATTGACAAACTAACATATACGTGACAGCGGCCGTCAAAGTGCTAAAATGCAGCCGTACACGCGAACGCTTACTGTTCTCTTCGTTGGTCGCGATGAAAACAGAACTTTCCGAGTATAAATGAAGAGGTTTCTCACGACTCGCGACGCAGATGGAAAGTGCGCCAAGGAAAACGTGGGCGAGATTTCGCGTTATCGATCGACGGATCGGGCTTGCGGGGCCCACGCTGAATCGCGTAACTGCCGCGACTTTATCGGGGAACAATAACCCGCTGCCTTTTTATTAATGCTCCAATAACGACTGCCTGCCTCGGTCTGCTCGTTCTTGGTCTTTCGTTGCACTAAAATCGTATTCTGATTTCGTGTTCTCTAGCTCGTTGATTCGTCTCCAGCAAAAACATCTGACATTCGATGACGTCGCATTCATAGTTCAGTGCGTTTCATATTTATATGATCCAAGGACGAATCTACCACGAAGCTAATAAAGCTTCAGCTTCAGCTTCAGACCCCCGCGCAAAGAAAGCCCTGAAAAGAGACTTATACCGATATTTTATCATCATCTTTCGGTTATACCTTATACAGGTTTTGCACTTTAAATTTAACTATTTATAAATCAAATTCATCCCTTTTGTTCTGATGTACATGTTCAAACAATGTATATTCTACTTTGTCTACTACCATATTCTCCAAAGATGATTCTCATGGAAAAATCCCCTAAACCCGTCAACCCTGAAAATTGTCACAATTATTATAGAAAATAAATATACAGGCTGTTCGGCCACCCCTGGGAAAAATTTGAATGGGGGATTCTAGAGACCAAAATAAGACGAAAATCAAGAATACCAATTTGTTGATGGAGGCTTCGTTAAAAAGTTATTAACAATTAAATTCAAAAATTTCAAATCGTTTTGGAAAAATTATTTTCGGTTACGGTGGTCAATTACAATCATGTTTGGTGAATAGACATACCCCCGAAATCTTGCGCATTTTGGAGAAAAAAATTCAGTACGGGCGGAACTTTAAACGTTAATAATTTTTTAACGAATCCTCCATCAACAAATTGGTATTCTTGATTTTCGTCTTATTTTGGCCTCTAGAATCCTCCATTAAAATTTTTCCCGGGGATGGCCGAACACTGTATAAAATTACCATTACTTGGACAGGTTTTATACTATACTTGTACGTAAGTATGAATTGTCATGAATTGGTAAATGCTATTAAATAAGTAACTTGTGTACATGTATGTATGTACATCTAAACCAGTGATCCCTTAATTTTGGCGTGTAGTGTAATTTGGTGCTAAATTGGTTAATAGTTACCGATTCCACGCGATGCTCGCAAAGGGAAAACAAATGATACGACATACCAGCCAGAAATGTCGTTGACTTGTTACAACATTACGATCTAACGGTTCGATCGTCGTTCGTGAATCTTTCTTTCTTTTTTTTTTGTGACGAGTCGGTGGGATCCGGTCGAACCACTCGGATTTCCTCCAGGGGTGATTAAAAACGCCGTCGTAGTCCGTATATGCTGAAAAACGAAACGTGCATGCTGAATGCATTTATATACATTGCGACCTGTGTTTACGGTAACGGGGATACATCGTGCGTCAAGGTTCCGTCAACCACGAGCCCCCTGATAAAACCGTACAATTTAACGGCGCCTGGGAAACAGCTTTCAACACACGCACACCTAATTAAGGCCGATTTATATCATCCGTTCATACACGAAACGTTTACGGCACAATTCGGTTTAGACAAATACCATTATAGGAAAAACAAACGAATGTTTATACAGTTTTTTTTTCTATCCTTTTTCTGATAACAATGCTATGCAATATAGATCTTCTAACATTAAATCTACCAAAGGGGAAAACATGACTTGTTTTGTTATTTGTCATAACTGCTCGTTTTTAGTACTTTTTATTTTTGAAATTTTATGACCTCTACTGACGTACATAAATGATTAATTTTATAAAGAGGTTTTCTTTTTTCTTATTTTCATTTCGACATTTCACTGTTGTCGAAACATCTTATTTTCCTGAATAACTAAATATGTTTTTTTTAAACAAAAATCTCATTTTCTGATCGAGCAAGGTTTACTTAAAGCTGGTAATGCTTGTAAAATCTTTGTTGTATGTGGTTTTACTCTACTTTCCTCTACTTATTATTTTTAAAAACAAATCACTTTTACCCCTCTGATAGAAGTACACGCAAGTCGTTGATAATACTACTGTTAAGGATAAATGTAAAAACGTTTTCAAACTATAATTACTATATGGATAATATAAATCAACCTTTATTAGGAACAACAGGTTACCCGCGTTAACTATATGCGTACATCGTTTTACTCCGTACTAAATATTCAGCATTTTCTATTGGACTGCGTATTTTATATATTTATCGTAACGTATGAGGTTGCGCAAGTAAGACGAGTCAGAACCATTTCTTAGCTCCAGTTAGAATTAAGAATGGTAAAACAAAAAAAATTGAACAGTTTCAAGATCTCACATTACACTGTATCTTTCGAAGTTGCCACCTTATCATAATATAAAAACTTTCGACAGTTACGAATCTTTACAGTATCTTATCCGTGCACATCACAAATGTTCTTTACTGTTTCTATAACTGTAATTCCCCTTCGAAACCCGTAAAGCAATACGCGATGAACACATATCTTGTCAGTAGTCAAAAGGAAAACTACAAATAAATGAGACAGCAAAAGGATATAGACACCTCATTGGAAACGCGCGTTCAACTCAATATTTAAAGTAAGATAAGAGTATAATATTACTTATGAGATCATTTAACAATTCGTAGACCTAACATTTTTGATTTTGTGATACTCGAGCAGAAAAAGAAACTGTAATGACTATTCCAACAGAAAGTTTCTAGAATCGATTCTATGTTTCAGATCAATAGTTGTATTGGGGTGAAAGCATCCTCGAGCCGTGGATAACAGAGAACGATGGCGAGACAACAAACAGCCGATCGAAACATCCCTCATCTGCGGGATATCTTCGGGTTCGGCAGCAAATGGGAGAACACGCGTATCCAGGCCGAGGAGAAGGCGCCAGGCCACGACAGCGCTGTGTCCGTCGGCTCGACCTCTGGCGAGGAAGAGAGTCCTAAAAACAGCAAGAAAAAGAAGTCACGTCGTCGCGACAATAGTAAAACTCTAACGGAAAGCGACGTGAAACATTTGGAAAGACACCTATCCATGAAGAAGACCATCCGTAAGAAGATCATGCGCGATTTACAGCAGGCGTTCGTCGAGGACCCGAACGAGTTTCGAGTGGACGACATACCCCCGGAACAGCTCAAGGCAGAAATCAATATTCAGAGCCTGAGCTTCGGTACACCCTCGCAGAAACAGGGACACACGCGTGGCAACGCGGAGAACACTTTTCTGGACATGTTACGCGCCGGAGGTGGTGGTAATTTTAATAATAAACCACTGGTTCTTAACCTAAAGTCCGTGTACCCTAACAGCCCTTTCACGCAAGGATACTTGTATGCGATACATTGCCTACTCGCAGTGTACGTTGAGATCAAAGTTTCCGGCATGTATCTCATACATGGTATCGCATACAAGTAACATCGTGTAAAAGGGCTCTAAGGGAGTCATAGATACAGCGCTATGTATAAATATCAAGAGCCATTCGATAAACAAAGAGACAAACGTCTGTAGTTAAAAATATATCTGAATAAGGTGTAGGAATTGCTCAGAAACATAAGTTGACATCTCTGTCTTCAATATACAGGGTGTTCGGCCACCACTGGAAAAAATTGAAATGGAAGATTTTAGAGGCCAAAATAAAACGAAAATCAAGAATACTAATTTGTTGATGGAGGATTCGTTAAAAAGTTATTAACGTTTAAAGTTCCGCCCGAACTGAATTTTTTTCTCGAAATTTTTTTTTCGTCGAAAAATTTAGGCACCCCTGTCGATTTTTTTTTTAAATTCGTTTTTCATTTTTAGTAATTTTGTTTGACGCCCTACAGAAAAGTTGTCTAATCCTTTTTTGTAGGTGCCCATGAGCTCTACTTCAGAAAAAAGTTTCATTGAAATATATTCACTATTATAGGAGTTATGGCTGTTTGAATATTGGGCCATTTTTATGGGGTTTTTCTTACTTTACGAAGTTAAGGAACAGCTTTTCCAATATTTTTGGAATTTCTACATATTCTTCATTAAAATACGCGTCGTTTGCCTTTTTAAACATTAAAATCCTCCAATCCGTTCAGAAGTTATGATGTCTTAAACATACGCATGAAATTTCAAGCGAACATTTCTATCCATACATTATATTTTCGGTAAAGAATATTTTTCTCGAAAATGCGTAGGAATTCTAGGGTATGACTATTCACCAAATATGATTATAATTGACCCCTGCAACGGAAAATAATTTTTCCAGAACGATTTGAAATTTTTTAATTTTGTCGAAAAATTTGTCCACCCATTGAATTTTGTTCTCGAAAGTGGCTGGGATTTCTAGGGTATGTCTAATTACCAAAAATGCTTGTAGTTTACCCCTGTAACTAAATATAATTTTTTTAGTATGATTTGAAATTTTTTAATTTCGTCTAAAAATTTCAGTATGTACTCGAATTTTGTTCTCGAAAGTGGGTAGGATTTCAAGGGTATGTGTATTCACAAAAAATGATTATAATTGACCCCTGTAGCTAAAAATAATTTTTTCAGAACTATTTGAAATTTTCTTTTTCGCACGAAATTTCAGGGTTAGACATTGTACTTTCGGTAAAGAATTTTTTTCTCGAAAGTGCGTAGGATTTCAGAGGTATGTGTATTCACCAAAAATGATTGTAATTGAGCCCCGCAAACAAAAATAATTTTTTCAGAATGATCTGAAATTTTTTAATTTAATTTTTTAATAACTTTTTAATTAAGCCTCGGACAAGAAATTAATATTCTTGATTTTCATCTTATTTCGGCTTCTAGAATCTTCCATTAAAATTTTTCCCAGGAGTGGCCGATCACCCTCTGCAATGGCTTTAACAACTTCTATCGCTCATTCAACAATTTTAGATTCCAAATCTTACGAAAGTTAACCATGCATTACTGATAACATAATAACGGTACTTATGTTACAGGATTGGAAAAGAATGCAACAGACGGAGACAGGGATTCCGGACATGGTGGCTCGCCGACGAGGGAGACACCAAATGCGCAAGACACCGACGAAGAATCTAGCTACCCTTACGATACGCCGGTTGCAACGCCGTCAAAGAAGAGCGGTAACTTCTGGAGACGTTTCACCATGAAGAATCGCAACAAACGGTAAACTACTCGGCCAATAACTCTCGACGTACCGAATACCCGTTTCCATATTCTCTAACTGTACCAACTTAGTTATTCGAGCAGAGCTTGCAACTGTGATATACATAAAACAAGAAACCAAGTTGTCCCGCGTGAAAAAAGCACACTTCCCGATTTTTTTTTTTTACCGATTCCAAGGAGTTTCCGGGCTCATTTAAAAAAGAACAAGGACCAACGATAAAATACAAAACCAAATTTTTGTATAAAACAAGGGAATGTTTAACGATCGGAAGTGACATTCATGGAGTGCCTTTTTCATCTCGCGTTAACATATCACGGCGATATTTTTAGAGTTCTTTTGAAGGATGTTTTTTTTAGAATTCTTTTGGATTCTTACCTGGGGAAATTTTCCGATAAAAATATTTGTAAATAATACCGCGCGACATCATGGAAACTCCTTCGAGATGTTGCGGTCTCACAATGTTAAATGGAACTTTTGGTGTGTACTTAAGTAATAACTAAGGAACGCAGCGAAATACTTAGACTGTAAGTGTAGTTAGTTTGATTTTCCTCTTTTCTTTTGTAATTTTAATGATAAGAACGAGAAAAACCAGGTGGAGTACGGTAGTCACGTGAAACATTAAATATGCACAGCTATTTCATCATACCTGTACATTATTAGTATTAGCTAGTCAACCGAGCAGATTTTACAGAAGATACGAAAACTAAATAATAATAATGAATTTGATAAGAAAAACGATATTTTCGCGCGATTCTTTGCAATTTGATATTGCTCCTTTTCTGCAAATTTGATGCGTTATCTACTAGCAGACGAAACACGATTATACAGTCAAACTTCGGTTCACGAACTTAATTTATTCCTAAAGATTCTTCGTAAACCGGAATTATTTAAGGATAAGAAATTCATGTAAAACGAATTAATCAGTTCTTCGGTCCTTAATGATTACTTATTTAAACTTTGATAACACTTTGTATGCAAGTTCTTAACATAAAATCAATGGAAACCATTAAATCTATCACGAAAAAGATAAACAAATCAAATATACAGACAAAACTTAATCTAGTTTTATCGTACCTGTATGGAGGAGAAGTGACAGCGGAAGTGGAAGATGGTGAGGAAGTGAAAAGTTTGTTTTATTATCTGGAAGAGGATTCCTATGATTTTTCTGTCTCTTGGCACCACTCGACTCTGTTTCAGACCCACTGGATCGAATCGGGATATTTTAACCTGAATTATTCTTCTCGAATTATTCAGGATCCGAGGTTTAACTGTATATTTAAACATAAATTATTTAAACAATTCTCTTTGGCACTTTAACATAAGAAATCACAAATGTAAACGAGAATAATATTTTGTACCCTAAAGTGGTTTTCGATTTTGCGAGTGCGACGTATTTGATAAAAATGTATCCAAAAATCATGGTGATATCAGGATACTGCGTATTATAAAGGTTGATATTTATTATGCACGACATCGGTGTGAAATTCCATTGTTCCTATCGTTCGAAGGCGTCTCGTAGTTTCAGGATAAACAGCATCCATGCTTTAAGAAAACTCAATCACCGTATTACTATTAACAATAATCATTTACCTGATGTATCAACTGCAATGCTGCGTTAACTGTAAATGTAACATATTGAAAAATCATAACGATGTAAACGTAGTGATTAAATAAAAATTCGTTTCGAACGTCACAATGTTCACAAAACAAATGTTTATTAAAACATTTCCTCGTGATAACAGATTTAAAGAGTATCTCCTTTAACATATGTATATAAAATTCAGTAAAAAAATTAGTTTACTTATTTTGTTATACATTTAATAGTAAACAATATGGCGTTTTTCATTGATTTGTGAACTTAGGTGGTCGCTTCTCGATAAAAGCAGTCATTCCCTCCTTCCTGTCACTCTGAAGATTTAATTTCACATTATATATTTTTAATAACTACTGTGTTTTTCTATGTTATATTCTTACCGTCGCGAATGTACCATGGAACATTCTCTTCTCAAAGTGAATCCCTTCCTTCAAAGTGGTTTCATAAGCTACAAGAAAAGCATGTTAAAATGTTTCAAAAAATAGAATAAACAAAAAAATCAGCGAAAGATTGAACACGATTACCCGTATTAACGGATTCCTTTGCCATGGCAACGATCATTTGTGAATGAGAGGCAATCTTTTCAGCCAATTTAATCGTCTCCGCAACGAGCTTGTCTGCTGGGACGACTCTGCTAATCAGTCCTATAATTGTAAACATTTACATGAATGTAAAACATTTCGCGCATCAAACATAATGATATTTTCTACTTTTACATTAACGAACCACTTTTCTCTGCTTCTTCAGCGGTGATTTGGTTTCCTGTAAGTATCATTTCCATTGCTTTGCTCTTACCGACGACGCGAGTCAATCTTTGGGTGCCACCTACACCGGGTATCGTTCCGATGGTGATTTCCGGTTGCCCAAACTTTGCTTTGTCTCCAGCATAGATGATGTCGCATATCATCGCCAATTCGCAACCTCCACCTAACTAAATGTACAACAAATTCATTATACAATTTTACTGTAAACAATTTTATGTAAAGAAAATATTTGAATTATTTACTGTTTTTGGATTATTAAAACAAAATTTACGCAACTTACGGCATAGCCATTTACAGCAGCAATCACAGGTTTTGTTATTTTGGAAACTTCATTCCAAGTGCTCAAGAGATTACCTCTTATGGTATCTGCGTAGGTATTATTTTGCATCTCCTTAATGTCAGCACCTAAAAGGACAAATTTGTTTAGATTTGAGACTAATTTAGGAAAAGGGCATAAGTTATTTGCGAACACTTACCAGCTGCAAATGCTTTTTCACTACCAGTAAGTACAATGGCACCAATACTATTGTTCCTGTCTAGTTTGGTTACTGCATCATTTAATTCAGCGATTAATTTATCACAAAGAGCATTCAGTGCTTTTGGTCTATTCAAAGTAACCAAACCTACATTTTTTTTCTCGCCCATGGTTTCAACCTTGATAAATTCATAGTTTGATGCATGACCTATATAAAGTTAATTTGTATGATCAACAACTGTTTAAAATCCTCTTTACTGTACCATGAATTTAAAAAAATTAAATGAAAAAGTAATTCTTTAACATTTTTCAAAAAGAAGTGTCTACAATTCTTATATACTATTTTTGACAAATATAATCATGTATTAAGTAACTTAGTAACTAGAAAAAGGAGTCATTTCAAAGTATATTAAACAAATTGCAGCTGTTATAGTTGATAAAGTCTAATGGACAAAATATTAAATTTATTTGAAACTATTAATTACGATGCGTGCAATGATGCAAAATTGAGTCACAAATAAGATCATATAACCTGTTAATTAATTAGCACAAAATAAAACTGTTACATAGTTTTTAAAGCAGGATAGGAGTAAAATCGTGCGTGTAATACGTTTTTGTCAAATCTAAAGTAACTATGCAAATAAATTATGATTTTCTAAAAAAGTATTATTATCGATTCAGTTTTGTTTTGCACTGTATATTTTCGATCGACGGTACTCACAGCAATAGTATTTAACATTGGACCTAATCTGTTGTGGTTTTCGGCTTATTTGCAAGGACCTGGCGAAGAAAATTTGACCGATACGCATGGTTGCCATGATACTTAACTTGTCCTAAGATCCGCAAAACTGGATAAAACTGGTTAATGCCAAAACGATCAGTCTTTCAAAAGATTTAGTACAAAAAATATTTGGAAAGTTTAAAGATTAATAAGATATTAGTATATTTTGAATTCTTACGTGTACACTGTTCGAATAGTAACTTTGTAACTCCTCTACAGTGATAATTCCAATTAAGAGTGGGAGTGGAGGAATAAGCTAGTACTATCCAGTGATACGATGTTGCGTGTCGTACAATAGCTTAAGCTCTATGCAAAGTAACACACATTTTTAATACACAACCGTATGCCTTTCCTTGCTTTTAGAAATTTCTCCTCCGATTGAGAGTGAGAATAGAAGAATAGTACGTGCACAGTATGGTCCGATAACGCGATGCAGCGTCGCGTACCGACTTAATCGAAACTCTAATCATTAATGCTTCTGTTCTATTCAAATTATTTAGATAAGATAAGAATATCATTTCATCTTAATAAGACTGTTTGTAAATATCATTTCATTAATATCTAACTCTACAATTTTTTCTATTTTGTTCCAAAAATTGAAATTTACTTAGTAAGAAACTTTTCTAATAATTTGTCTTTTTCTTAATTCAGATCGTTCAGTTTGATTATAAAATTGTGCTATTATTAAATAGTTTCATAATTATACTTTGTCTGCCTCGAGCTTAATTGTGTAACTCTGATTACATTACCACGGCAGAAACGGCTTAATCACACTTTCGTTTCTAGAAAAGTGAAATCAAGCATATCTTTGATCCTTGCAAAAACAAGACAAAGAAGATTCCATATTTGGAAACCTATTCCGATTGCCGATCAAGTGACCTTTAATGTAAAAGTCAACGACGAATTGTAAATTGTCATTAACGATCAATATAAATGCTTTTATATCTAAACTTGGCACATCATTCGAATAAACGTTCACAGATTATTGTTCAAAATAGTGCATAGTCGACTTTTATAATCAGAATTTTTTATTATATTTCTCTTATTTTCGTCATTTTTCATTGTTCTTTTGTATTCTTTCAGTTTTTCTGGTACTTGCACTAATTACTGAAATTTTCCAAATATATTTAGTAAATAAATTCCATGATAACAGAACTCAGATAATAGAAGGTTCTGTGAAATCTAATGTAAGTGGTAGAATTCCACTCTGTATGCAACGAATATTGACTACTTTCACAATTTTATTTCATCCTTTTAACGATACGCAAGACGATATGCTGATAACCTTCGACTATACAAATATATATTACAAATCGTGTACTACACGATATCGTTCCATTTATACATATAATGCTTCAAAACAGAGGTGAAACACCTTGAAAAATTATTGCTCTGACTGCAAGCAACAATATCAAAGTATACATGAGTTTTAAATACGTTTTATTTACTTTAATCCTTTGTGGACGGCGGCCTGCACATACTAAACAACACGTTTTTATCATTTCGAACAAATATTAGGAAATTTTGGAGAAACTCGTCACCCATAAATGAACAAAACTTAATTTCTTTAATACATATGTAACAATTCATTAAATTAAAATAAAATTGATGCATTGAATCAAGTAATTTTTAAATACACGTTAGTTTTCTATGTTTCTTTAACGTCTGTGTTCTAAAATGTAAACAGGTCAGCTTTAGGAAGATAGACTAGCTCAGTGCTAGGATAATCTAAGTATCCTAGTAAAACTCAAGTAAAATTACCTTCGTATAAAAATAAATTTTTAATAAATAGAACTTTTATAAGAAAAATAGGAAAAGTGCTTACTCTTGATACTTCTAGTAATTTTTTAAATTGATTTAGCCCTCAGCCTTACTATGCCATGCGTTAAATTTATGTTAAAAAGATTGTATAAAACTTAGAGCTATATTTTATTCATTCTCCAAACTCATCTAAAATGAACAAAAGTATGATGTTAATAAAAGCTCAGATGATTATCTCTACTCATCTCTCAATGTCCCCTAATTAAGAATAATATATTAACATATATAAGATATCTCTTTATAGCATTTTTTATCTAAATTTAAAATATACAAAATTTAATCTTCTATTGGCTATTATTTTTTTGCTATACACGATTAAGGTACTGACAGAACTTATGACTAGAATGGGTATATAAAAAATAAAATTAACGATTTTAATCAATCATTTCATTAAAATGGATTTTGACTGTAAACATAAAGACACCACTAAAAATATTTTCAATTAGACCTTGCATCTAAGGGCTCAAGAGTATCTTGTATGAATATATGACATCCATCTTTTCTCCAATATCCTGTACAGTGTAGCTGTGTTTAATTTTTATTTCTTCCATTTTCTAATGCTTTCTTTTACACGGTGCGCAATTGTAAATGTTGTAATTTTACTACTTACTACCAGCAAGTTTTTATATTTGCATCCAATATGATTTATAGCCAGTTTTATTTTTTTAAATATTTTTGGCAATGCTATGCAATAAAATTCGAGTTCGGAATTTTTTCCAGTAAAAAGTCGAATTCGACTATAACATACTAACCGTTATATACTCGACTAACTCGACAAAGATTTGAGACCGACACTTTACGCTTGTACAAAAAAGTTTTGGCTCAATCTTTCAGGAAAGAAACATCCAACTTCTACTAATGGAGATGATTCTTTCACGCGTATATCTGTAATCTGTTTTCATATGGAACTTTTCCGAGCCTTTTTGTAGTAATTAATAAATCATCACAAACAAGTTAAGCAAGCTTTATAGAAAGATGTGGCCTTTGAACGACAATCTTTTGAGATATAAATATATGGAGCTGCTGAATCTCATATATAATTTACGTCACACTTTCGTGGGTTCTCTCCCCACCTTGTCAACTGATTTAGTTATATACAAGAGCTTGTTAATCGCCTATCATTCATTTTCGGTAAGTACTGTGAATTTCGTATTAACTGGTACTTATAGTTCGCAAATAACCTGCACGTCAACTTAAAATCATGGCAACGCTAAAATTCAAAGATCCCATATCACCGTTTAAGAAGCCGCAACCCTCGCCGCCCGAGCAGGACTATCTTTATCAGAAGTGAGTAATTTAACAGTTTTCATTCTTCGCCAATGATGAACGTTTAAACAAATTTTTCGGCAGTTATAGAATATAACAAATAAGAAGTATAACCATTGGTAGAGTTGTACAATTTTATATATGAGTCATTGATACCATTATATTTTTGAAAAAAGAAAATATGATTTTCTGATTTTAATATTTTCTGTTAAATATTTTATCTATTAAAAGCGAGAAAATGTGAAACGTTCAAGTACAATACCAGGAAAATTCTGCAACAACTAGCTTTTTCTTCAACTCCTATACTAAGAAAAGAAACATCTAGATCTTTCTATCCGATCCTTAAATGATGCTCCACTTCTTTGAGACTTTCATTTTCTTCAGTTACTGGAAAGTGATTTTGATGTCATTACAGATACTTGGAAGATATCGCGTTGAAGAAAGACTTACATCAACCAATATTGAAACTTGCCCTGTTCGGTATCGGTCGCGCTGGAACCATTCATTTAAGTAATATTGTTACTAATCCTCGCGTAAAGTTGTTGTATATCGTCGACGATGTTGAATCTAAGTGGAAGAACCTGAGGGACTACTGGCACCTGGATAACGTTACCTTCTTGAACAGTAAACAATCAGATAAAGTATATAATGATCCAAAGTAAGTCTCACCTTTTTTATCAAGATTGTCAGAAAGTTTGAAAGTACAGTTCATTTTCGTTGTATACATATTTCTATTTATAAATTATTATTATTATAGTATTATTCAGAATTCTTTAAAAGCTTTCTACACCTTTCAAACTTTTCAAAAATATACTAGAGTAATTCTATTACTGAATTTTTGCTCGACTAGATATGAAATGTATTAGAGGATCCAAATATTTGATTAAGTATTGAAATCATTCTTTATCATTTAGCGTGGACGCGGTTGTGGTCGCGTCACCTACGTACACTCACGAAGCGATCGTGAAGAGTGCACTGGAAGCGAAAAAGGCGGTCTTTTGCGAGAAACCGGTGGCTGAAGATCCCGTGAGCAGTCTAAAATGTTACGAGGTTGCAAAGAAGGTTGGCAAACCGTTGTTCTGTGCCTTCAACAGGCGTTTCGATCCTAGCTATTCAGCAGTCAAGCACAGAGTCAGAAACGGCGAAGTTGGACACGTTCAGGTCATTAAAACTGTAGCTAGGGATTCTCCTCTCCCAACCTTGGAATATTTGAAAATGTCTGGAGGTATATTTCATGACTGCATAGTCCACGACTTTGACATAATATCTTGGATTCTTGGGGAATACCCAATTAAGGTAACAATCTTTTGTAACATCAACAAAATTTGGCAGGTTTCTAACTAAAAAAAAAAATAATGCTGATATCTTTGAAAACTTCTGAATGCTGGCAGAAGTACTTTACTAAGACGAAACTAAAATCCAAAATTCTCTGACAATATTTTCAAACAGTTAGTTTTACAAAGAAAGGGTCCATGAGCACTGTAAGCAATTAAGAATCATTACCATAAACCATTTAATCAAACCTATTATGTCAGTAATGAATACTTTACCCTACTATTTGGTAATTAAGCAAACCCTAAACTATTGGAGTTTTATTAGCTTTCTTTGTTTAAGATAATAAGCACACCTATGCTATTCTAACAATTTTTTTATGCAAATGTTTAATTGCAGGTTGCTGTTCAAGCTCATGCACACATTCCAGAAATTAAAGCCATAGGTGACTATGACACAGTAGTAATAACCCTTTATTTTCCTTCTGGTACCTTAGGGGTGATCGACGTGTCACGAAACAGTTGTTTTGGATATGATCAGCGTCTTGAAGTGTTTGGCCAGAAAGGTGTACTAACTGCAGACAACGAACGTCCCCTTTCTGGTGTTACCCTGCAGAGTGGTCTTCAGGGGCCCAACCAAGCTCCCATGTGGTATTCATTTGCTAGTAGATTCATGCACGGATATTGCAGGGAACTAGATCATTTTATCAATATTATCCATGGCAAGGAAGAGATGTCCGTGCTGCCCAAAGAAACTCTGGCAATCAGCAAGATTGCTTCTGCATGCGTGGAATCTGTTCGTACCGGAAAAATGATAGATATTAAGTGGGCAAACAATGAACTTCCATAAATAAATGATTGGACTGTGTAAAACCTGTTTCATTATCACCTTATTTATCCTATGATCCTTTTTAACCAATCCAATCCATTCAATTTTTTTTGTCAAAATATCTCACACATATTTTTCAATACATATGTAATATATGCAAATTTTTTCAAAGCAAAACAATAATTAAACATTCTACATATTCTAAAACATAATAAAAAAAAACCGTTGTTTTATGGTTTGCATAATTTCAGCCATTCTAAACTTTTAAAATAAAAAATGAAAATAGATTCTTAATTAGGATGAGTTTGACTATAGCAGTTACTAAAATGAAAGAAAAAAAATCAATAATTTAAAAAATATATCACTTTGAAGTTCAATTTTCAGTTTTTATCACTTTTGCGGACTAAAAAAAACATAAAAGAAACAAGGAGTTTGGGGGTCGGGTTCTGTACATACATTTTCTAAACTTTATTTTTCAAAAAAATGTAAAAAGAAATTGATTTTTTTAAAGATTTACAGCGGAATACCTCCTTAATCCTGTCTAATCCTGACACTGATTATAGCCGGAATTCATGTGAAGATCTGCAATTTACAAGTCTTAGTCAGCCTAGCTTTATTATCAGCATCGAGTTAAGACTTTTATCAGACGGATCAGACATTCAGACCTCTGAAGTCCGCGCACAGGAGATAGAGATCATATCAGTGTGGCCAGATTTGGCATAATTGAGCAGAGATCCAGACGGAACTTTCGGTGCACCGGGGATCAACCGCGCAACGAATCATCTCTCGCAACAATCACTCGAATTTTGTTTCATATGTAAAACTGTTTACATATATGTATTTCTGCATTTGGCATTGTTATATGATTGTAAAACAAAGAATATAAATACTATTTCTAAAAATAAATTTATGGATGTTATTAATGTAGTAAAAATTAACCTTCAAACAAGGAACTACGATTATCAAATATTAAATTTACATGTACATTAAACAATTATTTATTCCAAGATTAGTGTAAATTATTGATACGTGATACGTTTGTAGAATGACTATTAAAAGGAATACGCACCAGAATAGAAACACGGGTGAATTACGTTGTTATATTTTCTTCCTTTTTTTTTTTAATCGATATAATAAGAAAATACAGAAAAATACCATATACCCTAAACAGGTAGTAACAGTACAAAATTCATGTTGTCCGTTGTGCAGACTCAATGAACGGTCACCTAAAAGTATAATAAAAGGTTCCCACTCGTGAGTTTTGCTTGTGTTTTCTTTCCTGCCTCGTAAAATAGAAAAAAATGAATGGAAAACCCTTGGACTGTTTGATCTTTAACGATCATTTAGCATTACAAAGTTTATTTATTCAATAAATTACGGAGGAACTAACTTCCAGAGGCAAGCTGATTTGGTCGCAAAGCCTGGGACGTTCGTAAACAAAGACTATGCTTTCACGTCTCTATTTCCTAAATGGATTTGAACTAGTTAAAAGTATTAAGAGCGCCGACGAATGTAACATAACTTCTGATTTACCTCCACAAAAAAGAACTAGTCGACTAACTTAGAACCTTATAATTCTTTCTATACTGTTCCTAAACTTATGCGTATTGCGGTAATTATAGTTAGATACCAGAGCACAGATGTGATACCACCTTTGTCTGAGCGTTATTGGTCATTTGGTGCATCAAATGTATAATCATTGTTATTGAAAATCGCTACCAAAAAAAAGTACAAATTCTCTTATCTCTTCGATTTGCTATTCGAAGATTTAAAAGTTCAGTTCTGCTTCTTCGTTGCCTTCAAATTTTAACGATTTCAGGAATAACACAGCAGTGGCTTGCGTTTTATCTCCATGAAATCTGCGCAATTCCGCGATAACTTGCGCCCTGGTAAAACCCAAGGCCACGATTTCCTCGACTGTTTCCTCCGTAAAAGGATCTTGAGACTGGAGTGTTGTTTCTAGTGCAGTTGGTCTGCTCGACATCCCGGTTGGATTATTGCTTCCTTGACCGTCTACAAAGCACACAGAAAAAGCACTCTCTCTGCTTTTGAACACACGATAAATAAATTCACGAATACGTAAGGGAAGTGATCGACTCTCAGTTTATTAGAAACATCAGTCCAGGCAAATTGAAGGACCTGGTTCTTGTTATTTGGATCTTCCTGGATAGGAGAAAAATGTATTAGTAGTAGGGGTGGTGTGCGAGAACCCAATGGTCGGGACGAATCGGGTCGGGTCGGGCTCCCGAATATTTCGAGACTCCCAAAAGAATCGGGTTTCCCAAAAAGTTCGAGATTGTTGAGACTCTTGAAAAGAATTCGTGATGGACAACATTCTTTCAAGTTCTTCTACCAGTTTTTATGAAGTTATTGGAAACACGGATTCTAAGAATCATGTGACCTGATGTGAACAAACGTGTAACTGCGTGCTTAGTGAACTGCTATTTTCCACGGTTGGAAATATTATAACATCGAGTCGAACAAAATTGTTGACAGAAAATATCGAGAAAGTGACTTTTTTACATGAAAATTTACAATAAATAATTATACTTATTACTTATTTGTGCACTATTTCTATTCCACGAATCGTATAATTCTATAATTGTAAATTGAATAAGTAAAAAGTAAAATAACATAATTTGCTGCAAACACCTAGAATAAACAATTCAAGCCCATGAATATATTATTATTATTATTATTATTATTATTATTCATTAACATAAGGGCAAAAAGCTCTTATATACATTAAAACGAATATAAATGATTAGAGGGTTCTCGGAATTTTGGGAAATCCCGATTCTTTCGGGAATCTCGAAACTTTCAAGGACCCGTCCCGATCCCGAAAAAATTTCGTGTTTCCGACCCGACCAGATATTTCGGGTTCTCGCGCACCCCTAATTAGTAGCTATAGGAATTTACTTATCCCTATTTCATTGGCGATAAGTACTTGGAAAGAATTATTATGGAGAAAAAAAGAGAGTGAGAAAGGATAACCTGGACAGATACATACGTACCATTTTGCTGATGTTGCTTCTTTGCTTCTCTAGAACTGTCCTCAAAAGCTCTTTGAAGTTCTCTATCATCAAAGACCCCTTCATTGTTGCCGCTCAACCTTGAACACTCGGGCAACTCACCTAAGGAAAAACGTCTATATAGTACAACAATAAATAAAAGAATGACTGATATCCTTAATAAATTCACCTTCTGCTAAAAATGATGTTTCAGTGCCAGTGGTACCTATCTTCAGAACATTTTTCTTCAAGTCTATGCAACACTGATGCCTCTTCAACATATCCAAACCCAGTAACATGTCCATAGATTGTTCTTCAAGAACACTGAATGACGTTGTCAAGTGATCATTGCCAATCTGAATTTGTACCATATGTATACGTCCTATAATGCGTTGAGTTCCAACACCCTTGGCCACTCCATCCCATCTTGGGTCAACTAGTCGCATTATATGGCACCTTTCCGCACAGGCAGCAGACATTATAGTTATTTGTGCACCTAATTTTTTATATTATCGTTTTAACGAATATTATAGAAAAACATAATTATTCTTATTACTGTTTTACCGAATGTAATAGAAAAGTCTTTTTGATGGGAGTCTTTTAGATTAAAGAATCAAGACTATTTAAAAGTATAAAAATATGACTCGTATGAGAGTGCAGATTCCAATGTCTAAAATTAAACTGCTCCCTCTATGAAGAACCATACTATAAAGAATGACTTTCAAAATGCAAGAAATTTAAAAATAGACACCCACTAACTGAACGCAGTCAAACAAAGATATTTAAAAATAATCTTGACTCCAATCCAATGGTAATATCAAATATTCATCATATGAATTTAAGTTTCATTACTTTCTATTGGTTAATTTTAAATATAAATAAAAAAAATGGATACACACCTGAATCAATAAATGCTGTAACAGGAAATCCATTGACTTTACAATTAATATATAACATAACAACTGTTCCAAACGTTTCTGGATTGTATTCCATTGCAGCTGCCATGTTGGCTTCAATATTTTTGTGCCTAATTTCATCTGCAATTAGCCTCTGTGCTTCCGTATCAAACGGATCTGCATTCATCATCCTCAATTTTTGAGCCTGACGCTCTTCTCGAGCTTTTATTTGCTCTCTGAGTACATTGGAGAATATCTCTATAAACCATAAAATCTTTAAATTAACACACGGTCCCAGAACTGTAAAATGCAGACTTAAAAATATATTTAGTCAAAACTCACCAAGATTTCCAGTTAGCAAGGCATGAGCTAGTCTAGGATTATTCTGTTCGAGCAATGCTAGCTGATCCGGATTAGCTAAGAGCGTATCTCTTATCATTGCTGGATCATCCTCGCTTCTAGGATTTTGTACTCTTGCAGCATTATTTGAGGTGGTAGGTTGTCTGTTATTGGATGCTCCTGGCACTCTGATGGAACTGAAGTCCAACATGGGAACAGCTAGAGTGACGTATCTTGGAATTTAATACATTCTCTTCTTCACTATGCAGAATGCGCTCTTAAATAACTCACGAGACAAACGCATTGCAATAAGCTATCATTAAATCAACTGCTGTGCAAAGCTTTTTCAATCATTCTGTCTGCATTAACAAAACCATGCAGACAACTGAAAGGTTTTATGAAGATTCAGAAGATAATCTAAAAAGTAATGTAACTATGGCAAAATATTTTGGCTCTTCAAAAGACCTGTGCAATTATTACTTCCATAGCATTAGACTACTCTGCTGCTTTCTTCGATAAAAGAGATGAAAATCACTTTATAATATACAAGAGCCAATACACAAAACAAGACTGTAAAAGCAACATTCATGCTCTGCACAGTTCTTGGCCGAAGAAATGATTTTTAGCAGCCAAAATCTTTCGTTTCGTGTACAACTGAAGCAAATTATTTTGGTAACAGAACGAAAAACAAACATAACTAAACGTAGGGTTGCATGCTCAGTCGAGTGAGTCGATCCGAGTTTGGAATGCACTGGGATCGTGCAGTGTGTGTGGATGACGGAGTCTTAGCTCTCAAGTGAGATCTGCTCGAGCGATGTGAACAATACAGAGTGATTGAAAACGTAAATCGAAGCCGAAAAGCTAACCTCACGACCCGCCTCGATCGCCGCGTTAAATAATGGTGCGGTATTGAAGCTGACCTCCGTTAAAGGGGTGAAGGTTTAAGTTGGTGCCGCTCTGGTGCATGTGCTGCAAAATCACCGCGTCACCGTCCCTGATCCCATGATCCCTCAGCGATTTTTTATCGTCCATCAGGGGGAGGCCGTTGAATGCGATCACGATCTCGTGTGCTGGGACGCCGCTCTCGATCTCACAGAATGCCTTGAAATTCTCCAATTCCAGTTCCTCGCTAACATCCAGGACGAAGATGTCGTCACTGAGAGTGGTCACAGTCACCTTCATCGTTATTAACCGTTCTGGTCAGTCCGCGCGATTCAGGCGATCGGAAAACACTAGAAGGGGAATTGGACAGATTGGAGAATTGGACTTTGGTAGTGTAGGGCAGAGGTAGACTTTCGTGGGATTTTTCTGATCATGCGCACTGAAGTGAGCGCTAGAGCCCTCACTGTCATATATACTTAACTAGAATTTAGGGTACCGTTGGATCCCAGTAAGGAAGTTACAGGGAAAGAGAAAAGTTTTTATGAAGGAAAACAGCATAGATGTACAATAAAAAGTAGAAAACAATTCATTATTTATTTAGTTTTTACGTGTACAGCCGGTTTATTACATGAATATCAACATTTGTTGCTAGGATAAGGAAAACTGCAGAAAACCTTACCAGTATTTGAACGAAAATATTGCACGTACAAATGAACGTGAAACACACAAATACATGAAATATATACAATTATATACTCGAAACATATGCTTTATCAATATTAACTGAATACATTTAAATCAAACTAATTTCATATGTTTTAATCGATTTAAAACTAAATCACCATAGTCCGATCACAGAAATAAATGCAAGCATTTCCAGAAAGTTGCTGAAACAAAACAAAATTACTGATTTATAACACACATACATACGCTCATATATGTATATATTTGCTTCCAGAAAAAATCACAAGAAAGAAGTACAAACATGAATAGAAAAAAGAAATATTACATTATAATAAATGAAAATATACTATAAAAATATTTAAATAAATAAGTAAAAAATGAATTAAATTAAATTAATTACATTTATTGCACATAAAGTTAGAAATAAAAGTAGTAAAATACTGTAAATAATATGCAAAAAAAGTAACAAAAATGAAACATAAAAAATAAATAACGAAAAACAATAAGTAAAACAATAAGTAATACAAAATATAAAATATAAATAATGAAATTAAAGATATTACAGTATTAAGAAGGTTGACGCTTGAATAAAAAAGAGAGTGTGGATGCTGGAGAGTATAGAATGAAATGGCAAAAGCAAGCAGAAGAAATATTTTCAAAAGTTGTAAAAAAATTTCAAAAGTTCAAACTTTAATGGAAGATATGGAAAAAATTTAATGTATATATTAGGAAAGAAAAGGTATGGTAAATACAATTAATTTAAAAAATAAATGTTCTATTTCATCATTATTTAGTCATTACTAGTAGAAGGAAATAAATTGTTGTAATTGTGTAGTTCTAAGTGAGTAGAGTTTACTTGAAAAGAACAGCAATCAATATTATTACTCTGAAAATATGATCATACTTTACAATTTGTATACATACTTCACATCTGTAGCAATAGAAAAAATTTTGCACAAGCTTTACTTGCGATAATAGCCGATGAATGACAAATGCATTTTAATACTATAAGGGCAGATAGCTCTTTTTTTAATTTAGTTACAAAAGAATCTTGAATTCCGATTATTGTGGAAGTGTTATTACAAGCTAATCCAACAATATTTGATAATGGAATATCTTTATCTTGAAAACATTTTTTAAACAAGGAATATAATTTTTCTGCAGAACAATCTGTAACATTTAAAAAAATTAACTTTAATAATTGAGTGATACATTTTCTAGTTTCTAATGAAATATATTTCACTAAAGCACAAAGCAGCTTATCATTAGTGATAGTTGTGCTTTCATCTACAAGAATGGAAAATTTCTGATTTTTTAAATTTATTACAATTTTATCAGTTTCACGCTTTCCTAAAATATTTTTTATTATTTGCTAACATTTTTTCCTTGACAGTACCAAATCGTTAACTACCTGTGGATTAGAACAAATTTCTTTCAACAAAGGGACCATACGATCTAAAGTTTGAAAAGCTATGTTATGTTCCGCGAAAAAAGTAGCTAATTTTATCTCGACTGTTTTGACTTGTTTAATATGGTCCTCGTTTTTTATTTGGTGTTCAAGTAATAAAGCAGATGCTGTGATATTACAGTTTTTATTGATATTGTCTACGTGCATCTGTGTTTTGGAATGTTTGATTAAATCTGATTTGCCACATACAAAAACTTTATTACACGCCGTGCAGAGAGCTTTTTGAGAACCAACCTTTAAAAATATTAATACTTAACCATGAATGTTGCAATACTTTCCTTTTTGACGTCCTCTTCTTTCCCCCGATGATACCTGATTTGGATGGTTGTGGTTGATCATCCATCTTTCCTTATTCTCATTCGCGGACACAAAAACTTTTTCCAATTTTGTTCTGTTAAAAAACGCGGGAAAGCTGCAAATGCTGCAATGGCCCCTTCTATATGCACCTCTTTTTGAGGTACATGTATGGTAGCAGATGACATGTAGCTGTGACGTTGCTTACACATGCGCAGAAAGGAATCCCGCGAGGGAAAAATCCCATGAAAGTCTATCACTGATGTAGGGATGCCAGCGCGACGAATTTCACGCGAAAATTTTTTGCCGCTCCTCTCCTCTCGCGGACGGATTCACTGGACGAAGAGCAGCTCCAGGATGTAAACAACAACCCAACTCAACAAAAATACTGGCTAACCGGCCGGCTTCGAGAAACGAAAGCCACCTAGCAGATACGAATGATTCGAAACTCGAGACATCAAAACGAATGACGTTACTTTGGCGTGTTTTTTTTCAATTTCCTTTTATGCGCTAAATTTAAACTTGTATTCTATTAAGATCATCCACCTTTGTTCCCATTTCGTTCATCGAGTTGAGTCATCACATGTAAACAAAATATGCACACGTGCGGTGCATGAGAGAGGCAATTGCACGGCTAAGTATTGTCTGAAAGCAGAGATGCCAGAAAAGCACCGCCGGGTGCACACGCACACATGCCAAGTACGCGTACGTGAGCTCGTGGAGTTTCGGAAAGTCGACAAAGGCAAACTGACACATGCCCTCTTCCTCGATTCTCCGAAGCTGCCCGAAGTAATTTCGGATCGCCTCGTGGGAGTCGAGAGAGAAAGGCTCACATTTGCCTTCTCGCTCTAAACAACTGAAATCCGACCTCCCGTCAACGGCATACGATTTGGATTCTCGAGCCGAGATTCTCGACTGCCCAGGCATTTTTACTTTCCGACCTATGTAAGCGCACATAAGCAAAGTACCCATAATGAAAAAAAAATTTTGTAAAATTTATTTTACGGAAATACACGTTTTAAGACCTCCTGATCATATTTTAATTATTGAAAAAAAAGAAATTTTTTTTATTCCCATGTATGAGCACACATATGTATATTATTATTACGATTGAGTATAAATAGCTAAATGAATTTAAATGAAACTTTACATTTAAGTTTTATGTTCTCATTTCAAAGTCCGGTTAGACTTTGACTATAATCAGTCCATGGATAATAATGATTATACCTCTTGTTTCATAGTTGTTCCGATATATGTATAGGCATAATGTATAAAAAATCTTTTAAATGTTTCATATAAATCTTAGGACGAATTAAATTTTATATATGTTATACAGACGCGTAGAATGGAATTACGAATTAAGAAATACATAGGGTATTCGTATACATGCTTTATTCCCGTTCTTTCAGCGTCGGAAAAACAAATGAGCCCGTCCTGGGCCTAGACCCTCGCCTTTGTCGTCAGCCTTCTCCCCCATCGGTAGGGGTGGGAGTGTTGACGGACGAAGGCCAGACGCGGTCCCTTGCCAGCGCCACGGCTTGGGCCTCGCCTTTTCCCGACGCCTTACATATAAAAAAAATTATATAAACTTTTTCTCTATCTTCACTAGAAAAGAAAAAATTAAATGAAATCTTATACATTACATGCTTACTTAAATCGCATTGAAAACGAATACCACAAATGTTTTAGAATAATGTGCAAAATGTGATTACGATTTTCGCTAAGACAAATTGAAAACTCGGTTCTAACAAGGAAAAGTTGGAATGGTACCCGATTTTGGGTTAGGTTTTACTTTGAGATATTAATAAAGTTATTACAGATACTTATCTTCAGAAATAGAAATACATTCAACAACCAGCGTGGCGTGAATGACAAGGTATTTGCCTGCAAGTTCCGAGCTTCTTCTGCTCTGCAGGTTCAAACCCTGCAAAACAAATCCTTTTTTTTTATTTTTTCAATCATATTTTAATCGTACACTAAATGTGACATTATATTTTTGTCTGACCTTCGAATATTTTTTTTTTTAAATTGAATTTAACATATGTTATTTTCAATGTACGAAGTACATGAATCTGGATGGTACTTTTCGTAAAAACAGTGAAAACATAACAATTTCAAGCACCACCTACATCTAATGACAGTTCTGTTTTCACAGAAATAACAAAATTTTGTATCTAACTCTGATGGAAAGGCCGTTTCTTTTTCATTGATAAAATGTGAACGATTTTCGGATAGTCGTACCTTGTAGCTCGTACTTTTTACCTTATACTTCAGGTAAAAAGGGATAAAGCTGGGAAAAACAGTTTTATGACATTACCTGCTAACTTATGTTACTGTTCTACAATGAAACGCTATGTTTTGTACCTTTAAAAATATTCGACTATGTCCTTTTAAAATTTAAGATACAACCCATACTTTGTATTAAACTGGCAAACGGGATCACTTTTCCTTTGTTTCTAGTTAGTTCTATTTAGTTTGTCATAACAAATTGATACGGTTATCTCAAAACAATCGAGGAAAATCATTATTAATTAATTTCTGCAATTATTAATTCTACTGTTTTGTTTATGTTATAAAAGTAAGAACTCTTCTTATTGAAAAATACCACAGCGTGCGCAATACTGGTAAAGAGTGGAATCTCATATTAATTTATTAATTTTCAATCTTAAAGTATTTTGATTTTGAAAAATCGTATTAATAATATATGTACATATGTACGCTCATACGTGGGACTAATAAAAAAAATTTCTTTTTTTTCAATAATTAAAATATGATCAGGAGGTCTTAAAACGTGTATTTCGGTAAAATAAATGTTACAAAATTTTTTTTTCATTATGGGTACTTTACTTATGTGCGCCTACATAGGTCGGAAAGTAAAAATGCCTGGGCAGTCGAGAATCTCGGCTCGAGAATACAAATCGTATGCCGTTGTCGGGAGGTCGGATTTCAGTTGTTTAGAGCGAGAAGGCAAATGTGAGCCTTTCTCTCTCGACTCCCTCGAGGCGATCCGAAATTACTTCGGGCAGCTTCGGAGAATCGAGAAAGAAGGCATGCGTCAGTTTGCCTTTGTCGACTTTCCGAAACTCCACGAGCTCACGTACGCGTATCTGGCATGTGTGCGTGTGCACCCGACGGTGCTTTTCTGGCATCTCTGTCTGAAAGAAAGAAATCAGAGACTGAAAATTCAAATTCAAGCCCAAAAATTTTGGGTTTTAATACAAATGTCTGGATTTTATAAAATTATTTTTTAGATAGAAATAAAAAAAGTGGATTCTTGAAATAATAACAAATAGAAATGCTAAGTTGCATAAACAGCGGATTAATGCTTCCTATAAGAATATATCAAAACGGAATAGTAAACTGTGCTGCCATCTCAGTATCTGTCAAGTTTTCAAAACAATTTATCAAAGTACTCGAGGGTTCGAGGGATGAGGCTATTTTTCATCCGGTACTTGAGATGTTTATGCAAAAATAAATGTAAATAAATTACTTTAAAATTAATTCATCACTGTGTTTGTTGATATTCTTATAACTTATACGAAAGAAGATAATACATCGTTCGTTTACGTTACTTGTCAAAATGACATCAAAAACTGAGGTTACTCTGGAACATTTTTATATATTTAATGGAACGTATGCAAAGAAAGAAGGGGAGGCAAGTACAACAAATTTGACAGTAAACTATTTAGGAAATTACAAAATTTTACTCGATATATGTATACCATAAACAAGTCACTGTGTACCCTCTGTACAGGAAGAGAAAAAAATACTTTATTATTATCCAGAAAGAGATTTAGACGTTCAAATAAAAAATATAGGGCTCAGTGAAGCAATTATTAAATTTGCAGAGTACGTATACACAATTGTATTTCTATGTTAAAGTCTGTACTATTTTTATGCATTAGGTTCAAGTTATTATATTGATGTTTTTAGATCGTTTAATCCTGGACAACCTTGTGACTATTGTCACACGCATAAAACGCGTCAAATATATTATCAACCAGAACCAAATTTTTGGATGGTTATGGTACGTCTTCTGTAATATATAAAAAATAAATTATGTCAAATAAATTTTCTACCATGTGGAAAGATTAAATATTTAATAGGATTATTTTATAGATTGTTGGAGTACCTTATATGTGTAAAGAAAAAGATGGTAATAAATATATAGAATATCAAAATGATGAAGTTTCTAGCAGTGTTTGCCAAGCTATATTAAAACAGGCATACGTTATGTTCAGACTGTTCATGGGCTCATTCGATACAATCATTAATGAACCTGAATGTGGCTCTATAACATTACTGAAACATAAACTTGAACATTTTTATTCAAGAGTAAATATATCTTCAGTAACACATATGTATACTTTTTAGCATATTTGTTTTAAAACCATGTATTTTCCACAGTATATACTGTCCTTGTTATTTAAGAATAACAGTGATATTTTGGATGTTTTCCAAGGCTTGCAATTTTTACCCCTTGACAAAATAACATTTTTACAAGTTCAGTGTTTTATGAATCTCATAGAAGCTATGTTTTCCCAAGTGAAGTATACAGCATTCCTTTACAATGATCAAGTTGTATGGTTAGTAATATTAAAATTAATATATTAATATTATGTATTGAAGTAAGAGAAATAATGTTGTATTGTTATTCAGGAGCGGGTTAGAACCTGAAGACATGCAAGTAGTTTATCATTATTTAGTAGGTACACTTTTACCAGCTCATCTTGACAAAGAACTGCATGGAGGTTCAATGCCCAGAAATTCCCCTTCACCATTTACGACTTCGCATTATGGAAAGTTAGTGCATTCATATTCATTTATTCTTCCATGCATAATAGTATAATAAATCTAAATAATATAAATTTGCAGATTTGTTACTGGACCATCTAGTATTAATGATCCAAGTTTAATTGGAAAATCTCCTACAGTGTTTATAAATTATTCTACAAAACCAATCTCTTTGTATTTAGTAGTTTATCGAGCATTAAGTGCCACTATTTGCCTTTTTGTTGACAGTAAGTGTATTTTCTGCAAAATAATATTGTTATTGGTATTAAAGTCTTAAAAGTTTACAAAATTGAAATGCTTACTTTGCAGGTAAAACAAACTTATTAATAGATTTCTTTAAAAGTCTTGATAGTTTTCTTGGGCCACAATTGACTACTCTTGTTAGTTCAGTTGCAGAACAGTGTGCTAAACATGTAATAGTTACACCTGAATCTTGCACAAAATATTTGTATTTTAATAAACTCAATTTAGCATATAAAAGTACAATACATCTTGATAATAGACGATGCTCTAATGTCCTCACAACACCTGAAGTATTAAGAGTTATTACGGACATATATAATGATACAAACAAGTTAGTATATTGTATAATAGGATTTTATTATAGATGTAAACTATTATTTTTTATTGGAATATATTTTGCTGTGTTTCAGATTAAAAGAAGCCGGTGAAATTATTATAAAAACTATGAGTGATTATTGGGTCATTGGAAAATTATCAAATTTAAGGGAATTTTTCGTAGTTATTCAACAAAAGAGTGCAAGTATAATTGAAATAGAAGGTACATATATAATTATATCAAATAATTATTACATTATTACTTATTGATTTACTATTTAAAAATACATGTAGTAATGAGAATATTTTCTTTCAGATGAGGTAAAAAGACTTTGTGAGAAACAATTAAAAAGTATATTTTTCCATTAACGAACGAAGTATCATGTATTTTATAGATTTATCTATTAATGTCCCATACTATTTTGAATGAAAGTTAAATTGTTTTTTACTCTTTCAATCATATGCAAGCAATATGTAATTCAGCATGTAACAATGTAATTATAAAAGACTATATAATTTATACATAAAATTTAATGTAAAATATAAATTCTGTACATACATATATTTTTAATATATTCAGATTACTTAAACAGCACGTTTTTCAAATATTACGGTAATCGTCGTAAAGACATTAATTAGTTCAAACCTATTTCGTTAACATTAATCAAATGATTCTTCCTCAGTATCCTTCTTCTTCTGAATAATGTTAGAAAATTTCTTTAATTTTGCTACAAAAAATCCATCCATATTATGTACATGCGGATAAAATCGTTTTGTTAATTTTAATGAAGGATGAAATCTATGATGTCTATAATTAATAAAACCCTCAGCTCCAAATTCTAAACCAGTAGGTACTAATTTAACGTCACGTTTCTTAAGAGCATAGTCAACAACCCATTCGTTCTCTTCCGGAAGAATCGAACACGTGGAATAAACAATGAATCCACCTGATTCTGAACGAGCATTAGCACAGTCTATAGCTGCTAAAAGTAATTCCCTTTGTAACGTACAACAACGTTGTATATCTACTTCATCTTTATTCGTTTTAACACTCGGGTCTTTCGAGACAACGCCAGTACCAGTGCACGGCGCATCCAATAAAACTCTATCAAAACCTTTAATAACCTGAAAATTATACGATTTATTCAACGTACTCCTCGTATTAAAACAAACGGTATTTATGTAAAAAAAAAAAATGTCATTTACCGATGGTAACTTCCGTCCATCATAAGTGCAAATTACAGAATTCACAATGCCAAGCCTATGGAAATTACCAACAACGGCCTTTATTCTTTCCTCGTTCACGTCATTCGCGAATAGTACACCTGTGTTTTTCATAAGTGCCGCTGTATGGGATGACTTTCCCCCTGGTGCAGCACACATATCCAAAATCCTTTCGTTCTCCTTAGGATCTAAAGCCATAACAGGTAGAAAACTAGATGCACCCTGAAGAATATAATGTCCTGCTAGGTATTCTGGTGTTGCACCCATTGGAACTTGCGAAGAATACACTACTAATCCAATTTTGGTCCATTTGCCTATTGGATCTAAATTAACTCCTCTGTTAATCAAAGCCTGAAATGTAATTGTTAGTAGTGTACTGGAAAATATAATAAAAAATATATGAAATATTTCTTTTGTTTTAAATTTAATAAATACCTCTGCCAAATCGCGGCGACGCGTCTTCAACGTGTTTGTTCGTATCGTCATAGGTCTTTGAACTTCGCTTGCTTCTAAAAATTCTAACAAATCGTCTAGTGAAAATATTTGCATCAATCTTTCCATTAAAAAATTATTGTAACTATAATATGTACATAAATCCTGCCTAAGAATGTCCACATATTCCGAACGCGATCTATAAAATAAAAGATGATGCTAACTTCTACAAAACTTCTCCATAAAATAGGGGGTTGAATGCTTGTGTCGAGTAACATACCTATTCACTTCGCGTAATCTTTTAAAGTCAGACAATACCATAATAATATCTTTTATTCGTTGTTGCACGTCTTTAAGATCAGTAATGTCAGCAAGTTCGTCTTCGGTAGGGAAAGTGAAAACACATTGTTGCGAAGTCATATCATTCATCTCTTCTTCTGCCAGTTGCCTAGAAAATTGTTAAAAATGAATGAGAAATAAGATGTACAGTTTTATTCAATTAAAAACAATAGTTACTGTTCTTTTTCCTGCTTCTTTTTCAATCTCTTATTTGCTTTTTCTATAGGAAGTAAATCATCATAGTTATCATCCTCAACTGCTTCTTCATCCCCTTCTGTTTCCTCATCTTCATCAAACTCATTAGTATCATTGTATTCTTTATCACTTCCTGAAAGGTCACTTTCATCTTCCATATCACTATCTATTAACTTCATTTTTGTATTTTTCTGCTCATGACTTTCCATTACATATTCATCATTAGATACATTGCTATCTTCATCAAACTGCATTTTGTCATTTTCATTGCTTAAATTACCATTTTTAACAAGTTTAGGTTCAGAAGATTTCTTCTTCCTTTTTTTTGTCAATTCTTTTGATGTATTCCTAATGTTCTAACATTATAAAAGTATATATTATTGAAGAGTATCATTAACGCATAAAGCTTAAGTATTAAATAAAAGAATTTACATTTTTATTTATTATATATTTCGTTTCTTCTTGTTTCTCCACCCGTGATTTTTTTATTTTTTCTTTCAGACTTTGTTGTTTTAACAACCGTTTCCTTGCACGTTGTTTTTGCCGATGACTTAATACTTTTTCTTCTTTCACTACAAAATAAAATAATATATTATAAATTTTACTATACTTTTAAATTACTTTTGAATATAGAATCATTATCTTTTATGTTCTTGTACATGTTAATTGGTAAAAACTTGTAAATGTTAAAGTAAAGTCAGTTACCAAACGCTAGTCTACAATACTCCATACCTAGAACTCCTTTTGGAAATGTTGGATCTCCTTGCTTCTTGGCTTTTTTTCCACGACCACTTGGTACAGCTGTTCCATCAAACTTAGCTTTTCGCCCCATTTCGTTTTATGCTTTATTTTTTGTTTTACTCAAAGATTGTTGTAAAAATACCAAATTGTAGAAAAAATATAATGAAATACTACAACGAAACCTTACAACTGTTTAGACGTTTTGAGACGTTTTCAAACTTCGTTATAAAGTAATATTATAATAAATAATTTGAAATAGCATAGAAAGAAATTTAAACTTTTCAAAGTGAACACGTGAGTCATAACCTCTCTTTTCACTCTCCTGTATTTATATACTAGTAAGTTACTACACACTCAACTAATGCACCAACCTCACTGATGACTGATCTCTATATTGTTACGTCCCGAGATAGCGGTTTAGGGAGAAAGGACGGTGGGTTGGTGCCCGTGGAGCGCTGAACCGCTCTGCTCGGCGAGGCGCGCAAAAATCAAACTACTATTGATTGCTCGAAAAAGATTGGTAAGAGTTTATTCGTCTTAAGCTTGATTTTAGATACAATTCTGTTGACTCTCAAAATCGATCTGCTCCTCCGCGGAAATCTTCTCGTCGTCCTCGGTGTTCATCCCTTCTCCGGAATATTCCTCGATCCTCCCTCTGGATTGTCCTGGTCCAATCGGGGTTTGTGCCTTGCCCCATCCATCCGGATCGTCTTCGATCGATGATCCACCCCCGAGCCGAGTGGAGGTGGAGGTTACGCGGCCATGTTGGAGCGGGCGCGCGTGAGAGAGAGCGTGGGAGTCGAGAGAGAAAACGAGGCTAGCGGCCTAAACAACCCTTAAGAAAATTTATGACCCTTGTGAAAGTAAACGAAACTCGAAGCGAAGTGTCGCGAGGCCCTGCTGTGTGTCAAGACCATTGAAACTCTTAACAGAAATAGCTAATTTGGCACGGTCCGTAATAAACAAAAAGAAGGAACGACGGAAACTCCGATGTGTCGTGGCCTTTAGAAAATAAACTAAGTATCTGAAAAGAAGTGCCTTCCTTTCTCTCTATCTTCCCCAGCTTAATCGCCCACGTTGAAAAACATACAATCGTATTGTTTATTACAATACGCCGGTCCGTTTGGATTTCGCTCCTAACTAAACGCAGTTACATGATTCTGCACTCGACGGTGAATAATCGGGTTACAATTAATTCCCGTTGTGGCGCTATGTGCATTAAACCTACGTTCACGTGATAACGTAACACTGGATTCAATCTTTCAATTCATATAGAGAGACCAGTGGAAATGAAATTATATCAAACGTTTAAGCATATTTTATATTTTTTTAAGTAAAATTTCTATATAATCAATTGTATAAAATCAAGAATTTTGAAAGAAATGTAACATTATTAAATACATAAAATACATATAGGAAAATTTCACAATGGTCCAAATGTCCCTATAACATTTCAAAGAAATGTCTCCCTTCAATAATACACGTGTTTTATAGATGATACAAACTAATGTTTACGTAGTTTGTAATGGTATTATTATAACATCTAAAATAAAATGGGATTAATTAAACAAGAAGTACACCGAGCCGGTGGATTTAAGCAATCAAATAAGCCTCACAAAACTGGCAGACATCGTAGTAAAGGTTCAATAAGTAGCGATGTTAAAGGTACTTATAACTTAATCTGTAATGAATTCCTTTTCTTGTAATAAATGTTGGAAATTAAATATATCGGTTTATAACTTTTTATTAATAATACATTAGATCCTTAACTTTACATTCTTTCTCAAAATGTACCTCTTTTCACCATGAACTAAAATATGTTATTTTTCTTAACATACGCCGATTTGATCTTATAGTTTATTCCAACTTTTTAAATGCTTAATTCTCTTAATAATTAGGAAAAGTTGGGATAAAAATTCTGTCAAAATGCATACACAAAAATCTTGGAAAGGAAGCACGAAGACATCAGTCTTCTCAAATTAGAAAAAAGAAGAGGGAAGATGTATTGCAAAAGAAAAGAAATCTTGGTGGATCTAATTCTGCACCTATTCTTGTATGCATTATTCCATTGCAGAAAGATATAGATGTTCAAAATGTATTATCAAGAATAATAAAAGCAGACGAGACTGCAAATGCAATTAATAGTCAATGCGGTACAACTCATATAAGGTATACTATTTCAATTATAAATTACATTAGTTGAGGTATAATTAATTACTATAACTATTAAATTGTTTGCAACAGCATACTTAGACTCAAGCAAAGTTTTTCCATTATTATTCCACCAGTTGGTAATTTGTTTGCTACATTGGATGCAGCGAAGGTAGCTACAACTATTCTTTTTGTCGTGTCTGCTATAAATCAGGATGATAATAATCCAAGAAATGAAGTTCTTGATCAGTGGGGCGAAGAAGTCATTATGCCTTGCGTCGCTCAAGGTTTAACTACTCCAGTAGTAGCTCTTATGAATGTTGAAAGTCTTCATGTAAAGGTATTATTCTTGGTTTTGATTCTTGCACACTTCTAATGATTTCCACTTCTTTATTTGAATGTCATTTCAGAAACGTCAAGAGTATAAAAACCATGTACAATCTAAAATTTCCAAATGGCTTCCGGAAGAAAAAATTTCTCAGTTAGATACATCTACTGATGCTTTAAATGTTTTAAGACGAATCGGATTTCAAAAACAAAGAACTGTCTCTTACAAAAATAAACGAGCCCATCTTTTAGCAGAGGAACTAAAATTTAAATGCAACGAAGTAAGTACTACAGTAGACACTATTTATGGTAATAAGACTGAAACCACCAAGGATTTTAATTTTTTTTAGGACTCCACAAAGCTTGGGACTCTTATGATCTCAGGATATCTTAGAGATGTACCATTATCAGTCAATAGTTTAATACACATACCTGGATTTGGAGATTTTCAAATGTCTCAAATTGATGAAATTCCATATCCGATAGAAAAGAGACAAAGGAAACACTGCAATGCAATGGATGATGAACCAATTACTATTAGGATTCTTGAACGTGCAAATCCAGAGAAACAAGTATAAATAAAAAACGATTTTGTAATTTCAGTAATTAAAAATGGATGATTTATTTCTGTAGGAATCTCTTGAAAGTGAAAATGTACCTGATCCTATGGACGTTGAACAAACTTGGCCTACAGAAGAAGAATTGGCCCAGGCTGCAGTTGCTCGAAAACAGAAAATTTTAAAGAAAGTTCCGAAAGGAACCTCTGAATACCAAGCAGCTTGGATCCCTGATGAAGATGGAGGTATTCTTTGTTCAATTTGAGTTAAGTTTATAGATTCAGTTGCATAACGTATTTATATTATTTTTTAGTGGAATTGAGCGATGAATACTCGGACGATGAGTCAGAAGATAAGATGTCTGTAGATGAAGCCAAATCTCAAGTAGGCAGTGAAGCAGAAGCAGAAGAAGATGAGGAATATGAAACAATTACTGTCTCAGAAGCAGCTCCTGATGAGCATCGATATGATCAGGATATTGATACAATAGAAGAAAAGGCAGCTATGGAGAAAGTAAAACGTACGTTTGTTGAATTAACAAAAATTTTTTGTTTCGTTACAATCTTAATTTGTTGTATAATTTTATCTATGTTCCAAATGTAGTAGCAAAATTGGATGCACAATTTCCTGACGAAGTGGATACGCCTCAAGATATGTTGGCTAAACAGAGATTCCAAAAATATCGAGGATTGGAATCATTTAGAACAAGTTCGTGGGATCCAAAAGAAAATCTTCCCATCGACTATGCTCGTATATTTCAGTTTCAAAATTTTGATCGAACGCGTAAACGTATATTTAAAGAATCCCGGGACATAGAAGGAGCTATGGTATATTTGTTGACTATTGATCTCGTTAAACATTCATTTACCTAGGATGCATGAAATGAACGTATTTTTGGTTACAGCCTGGTTGGTACATCAGAATCCATGTTGCGAATGTTAGGCAAGATCTTTTCACTGCATTTTCAGCATTGGAAAATCCTCCATTAATTGTGTTTGCCTTACTTCCAAATGAACATAAGATGTCCTTTTTAAATTTAGTACTAAAACATACCAATATTAATTCGGAACCAATCAAATCTAAAGAACGATTGATATTTCAATGTGGGTTCAGAAGATTTACTGCATGTCCAGTATTTACTCAGCATACAAATGGGAATAAACACAAGGTGCGCGTTATGCATGTATAAATCTTACACAACAATTTTCCACATTACTTTTATCACTGAAAGTAGAATTTATCTTCTAGTATGAGCGGTACTTTCGACCCGAGAGTACAATTGTTGCAAGTATGTACGCGCCAATTATTTTTCCACCTTGTCCAGTTTTATGTTATCATGAAAAATTGAACGGATCATTGGTAAAAAAAAAAATATAATTCGATAATTATTGTAAATTGCTTTTGATATTAAAATATATTAAAATGCGTAATATTTGAATAGGAATTAATTGCAACTGGTAGTGTATTGTCTGCAAATCCAGATAGAATCGTCGTGAAAAGGATAGTTCTTAGCGGTCATCCTTATAAAGTTCATAAACGATCAGCAGTTATAAGATTTATGTTCTTCCATCGAGAGGACATAAATTGGTTCAAGCCGGTTCAATTGCGAACGAAATATGGTCGTAGGGGCCATATAAAAGAACCATTAGGTAAATTACAGTTCCAAATTTTTCACAGTTTAATTAGGTGAAATAGATTTACCACTTCTATTTGTAGGTACTCACGGTCATATGAAATGTGTATTTAATGGTCAACTAAAGTCGCAAGACACAATACTAATGAATTTGTATAAACGAGTATTTCCGAAGTGGACATACGAACCTCTACTGTTGACACAGTGGTTGCATCAAGACAAGGATATGAACGTGGAATAACATCTATCGATCGACAATATTTGAATGTATATACAGACGTAAATAAAAAATTTTGTGAAATAAATTTATAAAATATATTTAATTACCCGTCCTTATTTATATTTTTATAATAACAATGAAATAAAATGTACATTTTGATAGATCATAAAGTGCGTCACGTGATTCAGATTTTATCCAATCAGCTTTGCCCAAAAGTATTTTGTATACTGTTCAAAAGGTAAATAATATTCAATAACAATTTCATTACGAAAAATTTTATTAATAACTTAGAAGATTTAATTTAAGAAAAAATGGATTTGGATACTGCTTATATTGGTAATTACCAAATTTTTACCATAGCAATACTGACAGAAAACTATAAATATACAATAGACAAAGTATGAAAAGGTGAACCAAAACTTTTATTTTGAAACAAATCTTTGCTCTGTATAGAACCTCTACTTGAAGACTGGTTGGAAGGTCTTCAAACAGTTATTAAAGAACAAGAAAATCTTGTTGAAACTAATGATGAATTTTACATGCCATTTTTAGGTAACTGTTAATATGTACACCATAAATACTGATAATTTTATTTTAACAATTCTTATGCATATTGTATTACGATTATAGCTATACCAGTTCCAGTTGTTAATGCAATTTTTAAAATAACAAAACACCTAGATTTAGGACCAGAGACTAGATACATTGCCATTCATTTGTATGATAAATTTATGTGCAATTATTTTTGGAAAGTGTACAAATCCGAAGCTGGTGAACAGACAGAAAAATCTTGGTCTAAAATTTGTAAGAAGTTATCCAGTCGATCAAAATTGTATCTCATGTCGTGTTTACAATTAGCTAGTAAAATGGACTCGCACTCCAAAAGCATAGGAATATCACAAGTACATATATATATAATTTTTTTCTAAATATGCAAATAACAGTACCTCAATATTTTAATTCTATCATAGGTACTTAACATTTTACAGTGGATCGACAAAAACTCTGAGTATACAAAAAATATAATTTTTGCATCAGAGTTTAAAGTATTTAAAATGGTAGGATTTAGAATGCCATTTTATACTCCATTAAATTGTGTAGAGGTGCTTTTAGCTGTAACAGGTCTTATAAACACACCAAACATGAAAGGTCTAACTATAACTTTGTTGGATTTAGTTTATTTGCAGGTATGAATTCTTTATTGTATACATTTAATATAATGTTGTTACATAGTTAATAAAGTGAAAACATATTTGTAGTGGGAGAAACTGTACTCTCATTTACAATGCTTAATACAAGGACATATTGCAAAGACTGATCAAGAAAAGAGAAACCTTATGACTTTGGAAACGAATGTATTATTTCTAGGAGCTTCGGTAGTTCTTTGTGGAACATTTTTCTTATGCATAGATGGTGAAACAGCAAAAATTATTGCCTTAAAATTATCTGAATTAATAGATATAAAAAGAGATGATATCTGGAATATGGCCAATATACTTCTTGTAATAGCTCTTCAAGAATAAATATAATTCATAGAAATATGTAAAATATTTTAATATTTATTTATTGTTATTTTTAATACACATAAATAATTATCTATTTCAGCAAACCATATTGTAATAGCACTTCCAGTGACTTGTGTATAACTAGACACTACATTTTACTGTTTAAGCTGTTAACTGTTTTTGCCATTAGTATTTTTATGTCTGTGATATTCTAGTGAATCAATTAAATTAAAACTATATTAATTATATGCAAAATATCTTCATCACATTTCAAAGCAAATGATTGCAGAAATTATATTGCTCAATTTAACAAACCTAAACTTTCCATCGTTAGATATATTAATAAAAAATATAGAAACAGAAATGATCTTTATTACTAAGTGTACAAATAAATGAAATGGGTGATAATAATCATAAATGTAAAGCTATAGCTAATACATTGCATTCAAATGTAAAACATAATAAATATAATTTATTCAACTTGTATTTATCCAAAGAATCGTCAAAAACATGTACAGCACATGATAATTTAAGGATTTATCTAGTTTATTTAGTTTAAAAATTGACATTACAATACTTATTACAATATATTAAATTTTTGTTGTATATAACTTTGTGAACTTCATTCTATATTTTATGTAAGACACTTTAAGAGTGACAATGCATGAATTTTTTTCATACGAAGCTGTTTAGTCACTGTAACACAGACTAATGTATAGTAATTGCTACTCTGTGACTGTAATTCAAAACATTAAATACGTAGATTGCTATGCGGCTTCATTAACTTGTTAATTATGTACCGTTAGGTAAAACAGAAAGAAAAAATAATCTTTCTTTTTTTGTCCTACTTCCGGTTTAGATTAAAATACTGGAAGTCAATAAAAAATTTCGACATGATGTCCGCCCGGTTCCTTCCTAAAGAATCTCTATATGGATGGCTTGTGGGTAAATGTCACTCACGTATCTCTAGGCTCCAGGAAGGAGACTCAGGAGAATGAATAAATGAATGCGTCCAGCGTAACAGTAACAAAGGAAATGTTTATTGGAAAATAACTGGAACGCGTGGACACGTCTACACGATATGAGAGCTGAACAAAGGCTGGCTCAGATTGAGCTTTGAGAAACTGCCTAGATTTTGCGTTATTTCAGAACATAATACCCTTGCAATTGCATTAATTGCAAGGGGTTTATGAACTTGAGCCTTGTATAATAAACGTGAGCGGATTACATTAAACACAAAGGAAAGATTCTATGAACACAAAGACTTTTTCACTCTTGAACTACATATTGACTGGTTTGAACAAGACTGATTTGAACTGAAGAAGATCGTTGTGTGCGCATGGCAATCATGTGCAAAGGCCCAAGGTTTTGACGCATCGCGCAGTGGGCGCGGCTAGCGATTCTCTCGAGCACAAAGCGTGCCCGAGTTCACGAGATTCCCACCATCAAACCGTTTAGAAACAAAGGAAAAGTGATACCGTTTGCCAGTTTAATACAAAGTATGGGTTGTATCTTAAATTTTAAAAGGACATAGTCGAATATTTTTAAAGGTACAAAACATAGCGTTTCATTTTAGAATAGTAACATGAGTTAGCAGGTAATGTCATAAAACTGTTTTACCCAGTTATATCCCTTTTTACCTGAAGTGTAAGGTAAAAAGTACGAGATACAAGCACAGACGAGATATATGAATAGACGTTTCACCTTATGGACTTTCGCGGCCGAATCTGACTGCCATACCGACCTGAAAATTCGTAGCTGATTTTAGCGGCCTCTTCTCATGGATGGCGGTTAGTTGAGAAACTAGGCACTGAATTAGTATTGATGGGCAGCCAGCTGAGTGTGTACGTAAATACATGTGAGTTGATTATGGGAGGGATTGGAAAAGACAGTGGAGTATTATCAGACGGCAGACCCGTGCCGAAAGGGAACTGCCCCACCACTCACACACACTAATGCCAACCACCTTGTATATGAGTTTTGGCGTTTCGTATAGCTTCGTAGATTCGAGAAAGGCGGCGAATGTCAGTCTATCCTTCTTGCTCTCAACACAGCTGAAATTCGATCTCGCATATTCTCGAGCCGAGATTCTCGACTGCCTAGGCATTTTTCACTTTCCGACCTGTATAGGCATATACAATGTATAAGCAATATACCATAATGAAGAAAAAATTACAAAAATTTGTTTTTACGGAAATACACGTTTTAAAACGATAATATTTTATGAACATATTTTAACCCTTTGCACTCGGTTGTACCCTCTGAGGGGACATGAAAGTTTATTAGTGATTAAGGAGAATGAACTGATTTCACCGCAATTTTTTAAGAAACACATGTTTTCCTGTACTTTCCTATTAAAATGGGAAATATTCTATTAAAATGAGAAATATATCAGCCGTTTTTACGTTGGTAGTGGAAGGATTGTCGAGGATGGTCAGAGGCGTATGGTCGGATTCAAACACGTGGACAATAAACGTAACTATATAAACTATATTATTTAATGTTTACTAAAATTATTTAACATAAAGAACATAAAACGTAAACGTAAAAAACTATAAACGTAAAATCGAAACTTCATTCAAAGTCGAACCATTCCTATTGCTATCTTCGTTATAATCTAAATAAATTAACGTTCTTTGTCGGACAATAGAATGAATAATAAGCTACATATTCCAAATGTAGGCCAAAGAAACCGGGACTGCATTATTTGTTCCGACAGGAAAACACCAGGAGAAAGACGTCAAACAACATTTTATTGTGAAACATGTATAAATCAACCTGCTATGTATATTGGGAATTGTTTCAGAATTTACCATACCATAGAAAATTATGAGAAATAAATTTTTATTTTGTATTGTAAATATGTGTTCTTCAATGTCCATAAATACATATAAACCAAATTTCAACACAATGCCTTACTTGGTTCCAAAGTTGTACCATATAATATCACAAATATCGCTGTTACTACAATGAATTCTATCTACACTTACGTGCCTGTTATATATATACGACTCGCCGATTGTTGACAAAAAATCTGCAGTATGTATACGACTCGCCGATTGTTTATTGTTTCTATAGATACATCGAGGCGGCCGGCAATGAATGCGTATAACAGCTGTGCTTAAAAACTCGATTTGTGTAGCCGGCCGCCAAACGGCGGCCACGCATTCATTTTCTATTTCAATTTTCTTTATTGATATTATCAGAAGTGGGAAAGATTTCAGCCATTATTTCGACAAATTGAATTATTAGATCATTAGCATGATATTGTCGACGGAAGAAGAATTCACCTAAATAGCCTGCGTAATGTATTTGGCGAGTTCCATACTTCAGAATATTCGAACCTTTGACAACAATGCAGAACTAGATTTAGCTCGACACATTATACATTATTTGTCGTCGGTTGTCATGCCGACTAATACAAACAAGAGAAAAAAGCAACGATCGTGGACTGATGCAATACAGAGCCACAGATATGTACATATAGACAGAATTCATTGTAGTAGTAGCGATCTTTTTAAAGAAAAATCTCGGAAACTAAGGCCGAGCGGCGGTTATATGTATAGGAAAAAGTTGCTCAAAATGTTGATTTCTAAAACATTCAAAAATCATCGAAATCGGTGAGACCCGGCCTTTTCTAAATAATTACCTCATTTTCTTTCAATAATTCTCCATTGCAAAAATTCTACAGTATTCTTACATTTTTTTATATTTTAAAATTTTCCCATGTTATTAGAAAGTAGATATACAACGAAAGTTATACAATTTATAGTTCCTAGCATGTATAACATGTATATGTATATAACGCATGGTCGCTTCGTATGGAAAGTCAATGAATCTTCAAAAAGCGCCCAGGTCCGATTTCGAGAAATGTAAGGTCTGTCGGTCACGATGGCTTTTGTCGTTTACTGACGATTCGAACGGTTGGCGATGCCAGGCTTGCTTTCGAGAAATGTAAACGACGTCAGTGATGCAAGAGCGAGAAGGAAAGCGAGTATCAGCCTGTTCTTCTTGGCTCTTCCGAAACTCAACGAGCTCACGTACACGCAATTGAGCATAGTGTGCGAAAGCGAGGAATGAGGAGTTTCCGGGGCCCCGATGCACAGTCTGATTAAACTGATTTCGAGTCGCAAATACGTTTCTGCCGAGTTATTTTTTTAATAAATGATGTATTACAATTTAAAATAAAAAATAGAGAATTTGCGGTGTACGTATCAATGAAATACATCCTTATGAATTTTAATAATCTTGAAATTTTTAAATACTCTCAATCGATTGATTTCTCCAATGAAATTAATCGATTAATGTCCAATGATGGACCCTACAGCTTTAATTCCGTTAAAAAATAATAAAATTTATGTAATTTTATTTTCTGTCTCGCTTCCTCTTGTGTTAATTTCTGAATCTGTTGATAACGTTGCGAGTGACACGAAAATGGTAATGGGGTCCCGGGACCCCAGAAACTCCGGCCGAAAAATTACATTACGTGAGACGTCTATTCATATATCTCGTCTGTGATACAAGGTACGACTATCCGAAAATCGTTCACATTTTATCAATGTAAATGAAGCGGCCTTTTCATCAGAATTAAATACAAAATTTTGTAATTTCTGTGAAAACAGAACTTTCATTAGATGTACGTGGTGCTTGAAATTTTTATGTTTTGACTGTTTTTACGAAAAGTACCATCCAGATTCATGTACTTTGTACATTGAAAATAACATATTGTTGCGCCGGGACGGGGTGTTTCTTGTACAACTCATAATAACTCGAAACTAATTAACGTAAAACCAGAAACGTGAACTAATAAACAAGAAGAAGTTTTATTTAACAGGGAACAATTTGTACGTTCGCTCACTACGAGGTCTTACGTAGTTCTGATCTTTTAAATCGTTGCCGGTTCCTCTGGCAACCGGAAAGTACGGGATCTCGCTTCCGCTCGTTCGAAGGAGCAGGTTCACATCGTTGCGGAACAGCCTTCACGTTACCGCAACGATGCATTTTCAGTCCGTCGCAAC